GAATCTCCATAGGAAATGAATGACTTCCGGTCGTTTCGCAGCCGCATCGGAGCTGATTTCAGCTGCCAGTGTGAAGGCGGCGTAAGAGTGCCGACGTGATGACGTCACTTTTTAGGACAACTCGTCTCGGAAGCTAGCGGCGCATAGAAATTTGTTAACCATTCTATTTCTGTTTGGTGTTTGAATGTATCTGACTAATTTTTGTAATTTACAATAAAAAATAAATAAATAATAATAAAAAAAAAGCTAGCAGCGCATGGGTTCCCTCGATAGAAAAGCTGTGCATTTTCCCCTTTGACTTTTGGTAAATCGCAAAAAATAAGATCTGTGGTCAACAAAGAGTTGTGACCCTTACGCGTTTTGTCTATCAAGATAATATTTACAAGTTAATCCAACATTTATACATTTTGAAGCCTATATAAAGTTTAAAAAAACACAAGCAGGTTGTAACTGTGTGTTCTATGTCATAGATCAAAACGTGAAAATATTTAGAGGCTTCACCACAGACAGACCTTACTTCAGGCGATTTAGCAAAAACCCATTCAAAAATCCCATAGACTTTAGAGCGAGGGAACCGGGAGTGTTAAAATGCTAACTCACTTTTTTGAATGGGTTTTTTTGCTAAATCACCTGAAATAAGGTCTGTGGTAAACAAAGCCAAAACGTGTAAGGGTCACAACTCTTTGTTAAACACAGATCTTATTTTTTGCGATTTTCCAAAAGTCTGTGGGGAAAATGCATTGCTTTTCGATCGAGGGAACCCATGCGCCGCTAGCTTCCGAGTTGTCCTACAAAGTGACGTCATAACTTCGGCGCTCTATTACAGGAGGATGGATTCTGATTCGCTGTCTATGTTGGCAAAGGAAAGACTTCATTAAAGTCCCCATGAAATCAAAATCGAAAGTTTTTTATTAGTATGAATATGTTTTGTTTACCTCACTGTTGTATAAGATGGTGTGCTCCAAAACAATGACAAAATTCATATTTAGAAGATATATGCATTTAAAACTTGCAGTCACTCACTTCCGCCAATATGGATCAATGATTTTGATGACAGTTTCTCATCAGATTTTCTATCCAATCAAATGATCTCTAGAATCTGAAGCCCCGCCTCCTACATTAGACGCTGAATCTGTGGCTGAAATCGGTCACCTCTTCACTCATTTACTATATTCTACATGGTGAATGGCACTTAGTTCACTATATAGGGGATATGGAACGATTCAGACATTTGGATCGCGGTTACTCTCTGTCTGAGTGTGTGAGTGCCTGAAGGCTGTACTGGATAATTGATCATTCCTCAATCTCTGTGACAGGTGATCATTCCAGACTCGGGAATCATCATCCCTTCATTCCCGTAAGTGTCGTCAGAAGGTGTCTGAACGAGATTTACGGACAACAACAAGCATCAGACAAGTTCAGGATCACAAACTGCCAGCGAACTTAAACAAAACGGGCCACACGTGTCAATAATTGGGGTAATTGTGTGAGAATCGTAAACGCAAAACATTTCATTATCATGTTGTGTGATATTTAACTCGTATACTTGACAAACTTTCTGTTTCTTCTCAGGCTTCTCAATGTGTCAGAAGGGAATGAGAGGTCACGACCTTCATGCACAGTCTGATGTCATGGTTCATCTAGAGGGTGAGATAATGAGCGATGATGAAGACCTGATAACGAGAGAGAGAGAGACGATGATGAAGCTCCAGAGAGCAGGTCAACACACTTATAAACACATTCGTTTTAAAACCGTTAGTTTAGAAGATCTAGTTTTTCACGTATAAACGCTTTGAGCACTCAGAAACACACTAACTGGCCTGAAGAACCTGTAATGAAACATAAGAGTTTTATATCGCAGCTTGAGGACCCCGAACAGCCAAAAATGCTTCTTGATGAGAAGAGTGTCCTGCCGAACCTAAAGAACATTAAGAACCATTATTATAAGACTGTGTGTTTTCCAGACTGACATTTCTTCAGCATGTTTAGACAAGCTCTCCGTGAAGCAGTTTACATGAGCAACACCTCTGCCCAGAGCTACACATACACACACACACACACACACACACACACACACACACTTAGGTAGTGTCCGTTTAATCAGTTTCGAGTCATTGGTTGCTTGAATCGGTCATTTGAGTGACAATTTTTGAACAATGGAGTGAGTTTGGGGGCGGGGCTATCTGTTTGCTTGACCAATGGCAGCCAGATATGGTCTGGGGGAGTGTTTTGGGGAAACCTGTTTGAAAACTATTCTTTCCATAATCGTTGGGAATGTTATGCCGTTTTTATACAGTTGAAAGAGAACATTCAAATATTTAAAAGAATCGTCCATTTTGAGCCATAATCAATGCAAATAACATGTTTGGAATAAAACTATGGGTAGTTTTCGACTTACTATGATTTGAGAGACAATGATTATCATATTACATACCAATTAGCATGCTAACTAGGACGCATACGTCTTTCAAACCCTGTGTGCTAAGGCCTGTTCAGACCGGGACGAATTTTGCGCACGATAATCGTGGACATTTAACGCCTCGTGACTAAACAAAGGGCGCCAATGTGAGAGTGCACACCCTGACGCGTAAAACACCACACGTAAAAGCGTCATTTAAAAAAAAAAACGCCTCGGGTTCGTTTTTTAGTTTGAAGCGCCGCGATAAAAACTATACACACCGTACACACCGGGACGAATATCAGCATCAGCGCGCGTTATTCGCCAGCATTTTTTAACACTTTTTTTGTGTTCACACCCAAGCGATTTTCGCTGACGATGAGCCGAGTGAACATGCAAATTCATTCCCTGACATTAGATGGCGCCAATTTGCTCTGCAATACCACTCCATATCAGTTCTCTTATCAAGATGTTTGTAGTCCCTGTCGCGTTTGTCATGCAGTTCTTTATGTTCCCACACCAACGAGAACAGCAGCTCTACATTCATCTTGCCTCGCATCTTCCTCGTCTTATTTCTTCCTGGCTGTGTAGACGGCGACGCTACTTGGCGTATATCTTCTTCGCAGTTGCATATGTGTGCTCGACAAGACAGTTTTGTGTTTGAGCGCCCCCTAGTTGTGTTTTACTGTAACTTCGGAAGCTCCAAACACGTGAGCAAAAGCGTCAATCTCATTGGTCAGATAGTTTTTGACGTGGCACGTCAAAATAAAAAAACAAACCTGAGGCGTTTTTTTTTTAAATGACGCTTTTACGCGTGGCGTTGTACGCGCCGTTGTGCACACTCATATTGGCGCCCTTTGTTTAGTCACAAGGCGTTAAACGTCAGCGATTATCGTGCACGAAATTCGTCCCAGTGTGAACAAGCCTTTAGGGACTATTTTTTTATATGTTTTAAAATAACTTTTAAGGCCCGTACACACCAGGACGAATATCAGCGCGCGTTATTCGTCGGCGTTTTTCAACGCGTTTTTTGTGTTCACACCCAAGCGATTTCCGCTGACGATGAGCCGAGTGAACATGCAAATTCATTCCCTTACATTAGATGGCGCCAATTTGCTCTGCAATACAACTCCATATCAGTTTTCTTTTATCAAGATGTTTGTCGTCCCTGTCGCGTTTGTCATGTAGTTCGTTATGTTCTAACACCAATGAGAACAGCAGCTCTACATTCATCTTGCCTCGCATCTTCCTCGTCTTATTTCTTCCTGGCTGTGTAGACGGCGTCGCTACCAGACGCTACTTGGCGTATATGTTCTTCGCCGTTGCATATGTGTGCTCGGCAAGACCGTTTTGTGTTTGAGCGCCCCCAAGTTGTGTTTTACTGTAACTTCAGAAGCTCTAAACACGAAGCGCCAATCTCATTGGTCGGATAGTTTTTGACGCGGCGCGTCAAACTAAAAAAACGAACCTGAGGCGTTTTTTTTTTTTCAATGATGCTTTTACGCGTTGGTGTGCACACTCACATTGGTGCCCTTTGTTTAGTCACGAGGCGTTAAACGTCAGCGATTATCGCGCGTGAAATTCGTCCCGGTGTGAACAGGCCTTTAGGGATTATTTTTTATATTATTTTAAATAACTTTTACCATGTTCCCATTCCTGAGCATTCTGCTGAACATCTGCTTTAACGTCCCACAGAAGACAGCAAGTCCAACCGGTTTGGAACAACATGAGGGGAGTAAATGATAAATGACAGATTCATGTGTGTGTTTCATCTCTTTAAGTCACCCGTGTGTCAAAACCGCCCACCTCACACTTCTCATCGGCGGTGACCCGTAATCGCGGTTCAATCCCAGAATTCCACGTGATCCTTTTGTCTCAGATACGGGTTTACCGGATTCCTGTGTCTCTCTGAACGCGCGCCAGCTCTTTGAGACGGCAGGAGAACAGAAATAGTGTATCGATGCATCACACATCACTGTGACCTGCGCTCAGACTTTGAGGATTCATCTTTGACAGTGAGAAGGTCGTCAGGGGAAGGAGAGCTCACAGATGAACTTACAGTATTGACTCACACACACACACAGAGATCTTTTTAATCTCTGTCCAACATGATCTCGTTCGTTTTCTTAGGTATTAATATGCAAAGTGTAGTTCTGACACACACGCAGGTTTTTATGCTTGGATACTTCTATGTATTTCAGTGTGGCAGAGAGAAGTGATGGATGAATATTGGGGTGAGATCACAACACAAACACACAAACACACACACAGTTTGTATAGTCATTTGTGTAGCGTGAATAAGCTGGTTTCATTAGTGACGGGCGTCTGTTCTCAAAACTACTTTCGAGTCAAAACCTCATAACACTGATCTTTACACTTGTGCACCATCTATCCTAGCAACTGAATGAGCATTCAAGGAGGAGAAAGTTATTTTATTCATTTAGTTTGCTTAAATTGTTGCCAAATTTCACATTCATAAATGCAAGTTTACTATAAAAACAACAACTTTATGCTTTTGTTGACAGAAGGCCGTACATAGACACAACTAGAGACCTTTTTAAGACTTTAAAAGTTTAAAGTTTGCATTTTTAACATTTTTGTATTCTTTTTTCTAATTTATTTTTGCATGCATATTGTTCAATACCTTCATTTGAACAAAAGTGCATGTACAATAAACACGCATGCTAATACTGTGGCCTCAAATTTCGCACAGGCTCTCGTTTGCATTTATATTTATTCATTTCACAGCCTCTTTTACCCAAAGCGAGGAGCATCACGGGCACATGTTCTCCTCCAGATGGGCGTCCACATCAGTCTGGGTCTGGGCAGACATCCAGTTCCCAAGCGCTGGCTCTGATCTGCCATTTGACCCCACCCTTAATCCAGAGACCTGCAAACACGGCCGCCCACTGATGCCCGCTGGCGCGTAATGGACACCCACAATGCAACAGTCTCTCTGGAATGCTTTTGTAATTGAATAATAAGGTCACTTTTCTGGTTAAAAAAAACTTGGTTGGGCTGTCGAAAATCCCAAAGCATTTGTCATCGTAATTGTACTTGCTGGTCAACGAAGACAATGCTGTAAAAATGGCAGAGCATCTAAACACTCTTAGATGTTGTTTTAGCGTAGCATTTGCACACATGCAACATTGGAAGTCTGAATTGCTCTCTCTTTGCTGTGTCGTTCTGCAGCTCGTGGATGAGAGGTGACTAATATTAGAAGTGAAGACTCATTTCAGTCTGTGGTAGACGCTCCCTCTCTGATCTCCTGGATGAAGGTGTGACTGTTGGGTTGTATCTGGCATTGAGGAACTGCGGGACACGAATGTTTCAGCAACGCCCTGAGAAGCAGCGCCAGGTCTGAACAGAACAAACGGTTAAATTCAGCCATCGCCACCCATCGCCTCCTTTCAGTGTTTAAATGGGTTATCTGGCCAGAGATGACGAGTCATCTTCATCAAGCATGCTAAGTCACCTCGCTTCAACTCTGGTTAACACTAAGTGATGGTTTTGGGGAAGTACAACGAAGCACTTGAAATCTTGATAAGAAGGTTTGGTTATGTTTAAGAATAATGCAGAATTGCGATTCAAATCGATTTTTAATGTAAAGCAGAATTGATGTTCAAAGAAATGCATTATGACTAATTTTTAACTAGAAAACCTTTTTTTAATGTTGACTTGACAAAGTTTTGGGATGGATGGATGGACGGATAATGGATGGGTGGGCAAATGGATGGATGGGCGGATGGATGGATAGATAGATGGGTGGATGTATTGGTGGGTGGATGGATGGATGGATAGATAGATAGATGGGTGGATGTATTGGTGCACGGATGGATGGATGGATGGATGGATGGATAGATAGATAGATGGGTGGATGTATTGGTGCACGGATGGATGGATGGATTATGGATGGGCGGATGGATGGGTGGATGTATTGGTGCACGGATGGATGGATGGATATATGGATGGGCGGATGGTTGGGTGGATGTATGGATAGGTGGGTGGATGTATATATGGGTCGAATGGGTGGATGGATGGATATATGGATTGGATGGGTGGACAGATGGATGGATGATGGATGGATGGATGGATGGATGGATGGATGGATGGATTGATGGATGGATGGATGGATGGCGGATGGATGAATAGATGTGTGGAAGGAAGGATGGATGGATAGATGGGCGGATGGCTGGATATATGGTGATGGATGGATGGAAGGAAGGAAGGAAGGAAGGATGGATGGGCAGATGGATGGATGGATGGATAGGTGGGTGGATGGATGGATGGATGGATGGATGGATTGATGGATGGATGGATGGGCGGATGGATGAATAGATGTGTGGAAGGATGGATGGATAGATGGCGGATGGCTGGATATATTGGTGGATGGATGGTTGGAAAGGAAGGAAGGAAGGAAGGAAGGAAGGAAGGAAGGAAGGAAGGAAGGAAGGAAGGAAGGAAGGAAGGATGGATGGGCAGATGGATGGGTGGATGGAAAAAGGATGGATGGGCAGATGGATGGATGAATGGGTGGGTGGGTGGATGGATGATTGATAGATGAAGGAAGGAAGGATGGATGGATAGGTGGGTGGATATATTGATGGGTGAATGGATGGATTGATGAGAGTGGATGTATGATAGATTGGCAGATGTATGAATGGATGGATATATGGATTGGCGGATGGATGGATAGATGGATGGATTGGCGGATGGATGGATAGATGGGTAGAAAGATAGGTGGGTGGATGTATATATGGGTCAAATGGGTGGATGGATGGATATATGGATTGGATGGGTGGACGGATGTATGGATGAATGGATGGATGGGCGGATGGGTGAATAGATATGTGGAAGGAAGGATGGATAGATGGGCGGATGGCTGGATATATGGATGGGTGGATGAATGGGTGGTGTGATGGATGATTGATAGATAGATGGATGGATGGAAGGAAGGATGGATAGGTGGGTGGATATATTGAGGGGCGAATGGATGGATGGATATATGGATTGATGGAGAGATGGATGTATGATAGATTGGCAGATGTATGAATGGATGGATATATGGTTTGGCAGATGGATGGATTGGCGGATGGATGGATGATAGATGGGTGTATGGATGTATGTATGGATAGATGGATATATGGATGATGGATGGATGGATGGATGGATGGATGGACAGGGCTCAGTGAGGGCCAGTCCAGTTCTTCCACACCAAACTCATCCATGTCTTTATGGATCTTGTGCGCTGAGGCTCATGATGACCTTCCCAAACGGTTCCCACAAAGCTGCAAGCATAGCCTTGTCCAGAATATCCTGGTTTGCTAAAGATTTCCCTTCACTTGAAGTAAGGAGACTAGCCCAACCCTCAGAAACTGGCAAAGCCATTATCCCTCCTTTATCAAACTTCAGTTGCACAATGCAATCGGGCAGGGAAAGGTATCCGCCAAACCCAGACTCTCCCATCAGCCTGGCAAACAGGGAGTAATTTTTGTGGCTTTGTGCTGATATTAATGCCTGTACTACTTTTGAACTCTTAAGCGGTGGACTAAGCAGAGTGTTGGAGACTTCCACAGACATGCATCCATGGCGTACAGGCGACACCACTGTCAAAACGATCCCCATTATTCAAATAGATCCACAAAAATGACTAAAACGCTGTATTCTGCTCCAGGCCATTAGATGGCGATGAAATTACAGGCATAATACGCATGTGCTTGACGCCATCTTCTTCAGAGATTCCTGTTTTCAAAAGTCCGCGTTTTCAAGCTCCCAAAACTCAGTTTTCGTGTAAACAAACGGCCAAAACTAAAATTTGTAAATGCAGACTGAACGAGTTTGTGCTAGATTTCATTCACCTGTGGCAATGGGTCTCATTTAAACACCTGAATTCAGTAATTAAGAGGTGTGTCCCAATACTCTTGTCCGTATAGTATATACTTAACATTTGAAGTGGATCAAAAAAGTTCATCAAAGTTGTCCTAAGACACGAACAAGTATTGTTCAAAATTCATGTATAACTTTGATGAAAGGTTTTGATCCACGTCAAATGTCGACGTTTGTAACTGCTCTGAGGGATGTTATTAGGAGCTGATGACTTTTAATAAAGCTTGTTAGAGCGATTTAAACGACTTGCTAATCACAAAAAAGATGACCTAAACATCAAACAAGGAACAAGCTGTGGTGTGAAGTTACCAGGCAATTAACTTTCATCTTAACACCCATCCCTCAGGAATCCTGGAAAAGACAAACTTTGAGTACACATGAGTCAGTCGGCGTTGATGCGCTAATAGCGCAGACGCGGCTTCCTGGCGTACAGGACTTTGGGCAGGATGTTGTGGTGGCGGTGGAAGTGAGATCGGTCGATACTCAGCCTACGGTCTGACTCCTGAAGACATTTGTGTTCTTCGATGAATCTCAAAGGCGTGTGTTTGTGAGACTTCATGGTTAAACCGATAGACCGAACGTACGTGGCTTTTGACTTCCTGTTCAAGTCCACATCACATTGTGTCATTGAAGCAGAGTTAGATTTAGTCAGAAAAGTATTATGTCTTCAAAAGAAGTGGAAACAACATCCACCTCAACTTAGTTTGATCTCACCGCAACACAGTTCAGCCGTTTAAGAGGGACGGATTTGATGCGCCTTCATGATGGAACACAAAAGCACCCAGAGGAGAAAAACACCAGATAGTTAAAACACAAAAGTGGCCTTCGAGGGCAGGAAAAGTTGGACCCTTTCCCTTTAAGGAAGGCAGACCTTGCATTTTTATTGTGCAATTGATTTAATTGACTTAACATGCACATACTCAGGGTCTAGCATGCAGTTTTTATCACACTTGGGTAAAGTGAAACTCTGTTTTTTGCATTTTTGTTCCTGTGAAAGTTTAGGAGTTTAGTTGGTTTTTCCCCTTGTACTTTAATGACCAACTGTGCAGATCGTGACGTTGTATGTAAGACGAGTGTATCTTGTATTGAAAGACATGACATCGGTCGCTTAATGTGAGGAATATTTCGTGTTTTTGTCACCAATGTTGTTGTAGTTAGCTAAAACGTGAAAGTATTTCAAATCGTTTTTGATAATTGAAATAAAGCTGAAATGAAAATATGAGAAAAAGTTAAACCTAAAAATCTAAGAAATGTTACCCTGGCATCTAACTGACATGAAGTTTGAAGTACTACACTTATGAAAACTTAAATAAATAGTTGAAGCTAATAAAAAAATAAAAAATAAAAAAAATCGACAAAATTGTGTAAAAAATGACAAAACAATCTTAGAAATGTTGCCTTGCAATTAAATGAAATAAAATAAGTTGAAATACTAAATTCATATATATATATATATATATATATATATATATATACATACATAAGTGCTGTCAAATTGATTAATAAATCTAACAAAAAGTTTCTGAATATTATATTGTGTGTGAATATATGTACACACACATACAGACACTTATATATATATATATATATATATACACACACACGCACAAACTTTTATGTTAGATGCGATTAATCATGATTATTCGACTTAATCATCACCACTAATTAATTTAATTAGTGCTGATGGTCAAGTCGAATAATCATGATATATATATATATATATATATATATATATATGTGTGTGTGTGTGTGTGTATGTATAAACAAAAACTAATACAAATGACTAGCACATAAATTGACTAAAACTTAAACAAAAATTCAAATGAATTTCAGTTTTTAGTTCATTTTAATTCATCATAATAATATCTGCTATATAAATAATTCTAAAATAACACTGTATCATTAAAAAACATGATGATTTGAGGTAAAGTTAAGAAAGATATGTAATCAAGGTCATGTTTATCTGTAGTGTATAGTGTATATTTGCAGTGTGTTTGTGTTTCTTTACAGTAAGTCATGCTAATTTATTTCTTTATAGCTGGATTGTTTGTCTTTGATTTGAGTCGCTCACTTACTGTAACTCACATCAGGGAATGTAAGATTATTCTAGAGAATATGTGTACAGTTCAGTTCCTTATAAAGTTTCTTTCCAGCTGTTGTATTTACTTGCCAATGTTTAGTCTCATTTGGTACTCGATGAGTGTTCACTTTGACCTCTGCTTACATGTTCTGTATACCTTTCTCACACACTGTTCTTTTGTTCTGGCAGGCTGTGAGGCGAAACACAACATGCGTGTGTTTGATGTCCATCTAAAGCAGGCGGAGGAAACAGCAGCGGCCCTGCGGCTCTCCACTCCTCCGTGTGCGTGTGTAAAATCACTTACTCTGTGTGTGTGTGTGTTTTAATAGTCCACCTGGGTACAGTGTGTCAGTACTACTCGCCTGCTCACTCGCTCCGCTCATCAGTCCATCTGCAGTTACTGCTTGGCTCAAGAAACATCAGATGCAGCAAGCGCTGCGGTGGGTAACACACACACACACACTTCTGTCATTTGATGTGGTTTGTGAAGAATCAGCTTACATATTTTGTTTGCTTTGAAGCTTCAAGTTCCAACACACACACACACAACTTTCCCTCTTCATCGCTCTTTAATTCACCGCTGTGTTTGAAGTTTGTTGGAATGTTTGATTTATATCTCTGTTCAGATCTCACTGGAATGACATTGATCTGATCGCTGATGCTTCTGAGAAAATCTGAGCCTAGTGGCCACACCCCTCTGTTATGATTGACAGCTGAAGTCAGTGGCCACACCCCTCTGTTATGATTGACACCTGAATCCAGTGGCCACACCCCTCTGTTATGATTGACAGCTGAAGTCAGTGGCCACACCCCTCTGTGTTATGATTGACAGCTGAAGCCAGTGACCACACCCCTCTGTTATAATTGACACCTGAAGCCAGTGGCCACACCCCTCTATTATGATTGACACCTGAATCCAGTGGCCACACTCCTTTGTTATGATTGACAGCTGAAGTCAGAGGCCACACCCCTCTGTTATGATTGACAGCTGAATCCATTGGCCACACCCCTCTGTGTTATGATTGACAGCTGAAGTCAGTGGCCACACTCCTCTGTTATGATTGACAGCTGAAGTCAGTGGCCACACACCTCTGTTATGATTGACACCTGAAGTCAGTGGCCACACCCCTCTGTGTTATGATTGATAGCCGAAGTCAGTGGCCACACCCCTCTGTGTTATGATTGATAGCCGAAGTCAGTGGCCACACCCCTCTGTGTTATGATTGATAGCCGAAGTCAGTGGCCACACCCCTCGGTGTTATGATTGACTGCTGAATCCAGTGGCCACACTCCTCTGTTATGATTGACTGCTGAATCCAGTGGCCACACCCCTCTGTGTTATGATTGATAGCCGAAGTCAGTGGCCACACCCCTCTGTGTTATGATTGACAGCTGAAGTCAGTGACCACACCCCTCTGTTATGATTGACGCATGAATCCAGTGGCCACATCTCTCTGTTATGATTGACAGCTGAATCCAGTGGTCACATCTCTCTGTTATGATTGACAGCTGAATCCAGTGGCCACACCTCTCTGTTATGATTGACAGCTGAATCCAGTGGCCACACTTCTCTGTTATGATTGACGCATTAATCCAGTGGCCACACCCCTCTGTTATGATTGACACATGAATCCAGTGGCGACAACCCTCTGTTATGATTGACAGCTGAATCCAGTGGCCACACCTCTCTGTTATGATTGACAGCTGAATCCAGTGGCCACACCCCTCTGTTATGATTGACAGCTGAATCCAGTGGCCACACCTCTCTGTTATGATTGACAGCTGAAGTCAGTGGTCACACCTCTCTGTTATGATTGACAGCTGAATCCAGTCGCACACCCCTCTGTTATGATTGACAGCTGAATCCAGTGGCCACACCTCTCTGTTATGATTGACAGCTGAATCCAGTGGCCACACCTCTCTTTATGATTGACAGCTGAAGTCAGTGGTCACACCTCTCTGTTACGATTGACAGCTGAATCCAGTGGCCACACCCCTCTGTTATGATTGACAGCTGAATCCAGTGGCCACACCCCTCTGTTATGATTGACAGCTGAATCTAGTGGCCACACCCCTCTGTTATGATTGACGCATGAATCCAGTGGCCACACTCCTCTGTTATGATTGACAGCTGAA